AATAATATTTTATAACTCTATATAATAAGGAATCTATGCTATCATGGTGATGGTGAAGCCGTGATGTCATGACCAACATATTTTGTTTTCATAAATCTTCCCATTTCTTGGTCATGTCACGTTGGCAACACCAGTCGGCTAATTCGCGATGAAWTCTATGGATGAATTTCGTGATTCGGCGAATCGTGACAGATAACGTAGCCACTGTCTACTGTCTAACTAGCGCCTACTACAACTGCCTAGTGCCTACATCTATCTGCTGCAGCTTGCAGCTCTTCGACCTCGCACTTAGCAGTCAATACTTTCATTAATAATAATAATCATATTCTCGCTTGTATAGGGTTATGCTATTAGTGTTCAGTTTTTACCTTATAAGTTACTGGTATTTCGTTTTCCCTTTCTCGTTGTATTCGATTCACGGGTATCAGTCATTGGACATTAAGTAGCTGCTCACCAGTCTATGATCGTCGTCCGTCGATCGTCCTAGGTGAAGCCGGTCGGTTCTGCATCATCGATATTATATTAATATTATAGTCATTGTCCAGGTGAGACAGGTGAGTCAACAATTCGAATATTTTTTGATTAAATTATAATATGGGTAGTGACTAGTGAGTAATGAGTACATTACATAATTACGACCGAATTTGATGACTATCTAATATATCCTATATATCTGTCTATGCTTATATTGAAACAATATAATATTGTTCCACCGATTAGTTATATTATAATAATTAAATATTTAKACCAAATTACTAGGTAGTGTTATTATTACAGCTCCTAGATTTGAATGAATTTAGGCCTCATCAGTTTAGGGCATATTACCAGCAGTAAAAAAGAACAATTAACTAGGAAAATTTAAGTCATGATTAGATTAAGATGTTTATTTACAAAATAATATTAAGGTTATGTACAATTAATATTAATTTATTTGTGCTATGTCTAATGGCTTACATACATGGCTTGCCTGGCTTTATATTTCAAAATAAGTAATAAGTAATAATATTTTTTTATCAGAAATACATAAAAACACTTATTAATTATCTTGTTTTGTAAACAAAACCTTATTTCAGCAAAACTATTTAAAGTTAATTAAAATTTTAGTGGTTGAGTAAATATGACATTTTATTGAGGTTGACATCCTAATTGTGCTTAATAGATTTTTAGTGTTCAATTTTTATAAAACAGGAAACCATYGACTTAATATATCTAATCTATATAACTATAATAAAACATGAATCATATTATGTCATTTACAGCACCCTGATTTTTGTTGGCTTTAAAAATGTGCAATTATTTAGTAACACTCATTAAATACATAATAAATAATAATTTATTTACAATATTTATAATGAAGCTGTTTACATATATGTACTTTGACCCCAATTTTTTTTCTTAAAAAAAATTAAGATTAAAAAACTTTTTTAAACATTAAAATATTATTTTAATTAATTAAAATTTGCGAGAAAGTTAATGTTTATATACCTAATAACTAAATATTATAAAATGTACCTAATGAGTTTCAAATGTTTCAATAACAATATATTTCAATATGTACAACCCAGTGTACAACTTTAGATATTTAAAATACCTTTAATTTAGAATAAAATATTAAATTTATATGAGTAGTATTATTATTCATCAACATTTAAGATTACTTGCCAAAAAGTTTCATGTGGCCCACTTTCTGTTTAATTTTAGATATTTGTTTTTCAAAATAAAAATTAGATACTTATAGAACATAATATCTCTTAAATTCTATGTTGTACYTATTTCTTTTTTATAGTATTTAATTGTATAGTGATAAGTTCATCGCATTTAAACAATTTTCCAAAGCATACCTTTAGAAAAACTCGATTTCCTTTATTTTTTACTATCTATTTCAGCGGTTCCCAACCTGTACACCGCGGTGCTCTAAGAGCACTGGGAGCTCATTTAAGGAGTACCACGGCTCATCAGGGAATAAAAAAATTATTAAATTATATATTAAAAATTGATTGTAGTTGAAAAGGCAAAAAATTGTTTTTTAAAAATCACTTAGCATACTATCTATATATCTAATATTAAATATAGTGTTTCTAATATATGTCGAATAATTCAATAAAACATAAAAATATTGCCAAACTTTCCAAAAATAAACACCCTCTAATATCTCATGAATTATTAGTTTTTCACTATTAAAGCAGAATTTTTCTTTTTACTTTCAACTATAAAATTATAATTTGTTAATAATATGTTCAATAAAATAACTTAAATCAGTTATCAATGAAAACTAGTGTTTATTTTTATCACGTTCCTTGTGATATTCACAGAAAGGTACCTAATAAAATTTGTACAAACAAAAAGACACTGCTGACGAAAAAGGTTGGGAACCGCTGATCTATTTACTTCCTCAATTATTCTTACTGTTCATATTTTTGTAACCGATTGAATAAAACATTTTAAAAACAAAACAAATAAAAATGTAGATAGGTACCTATTTTTAATAATATTCAAATATTTAAATTCTTCTATTTGTATTACATATACAATTATCCMGTCTTAAATTTTTTGTATGATACATTATCACATAGACTAAACACATACAAGTATATTATTCTACCGATTGAATTTTAAAATAGTTATATAGGTATAATAGGTATATTATTTAAATCTAATGTATAATTATTATAGTTAAAGTTAAAAAAGTAGTTAGTACAAATTAAATTATATTAAGTTCTAAAATAAATTTGGATGGCCCTAGATTGTAAATGTCTAGGTTTATAATTATTAAATTATATAATAAAATGTTATTTTCTAAACACCCAATTAAATCTAGGTCATAAGACAAACATATGAATAACTCATATTACTATTTTTAGATAACTGGTGTTCTACACACCCACGTCCCACACTCATTTTATGATAGTTCTAGACTAAAAATTCTTAATATGTTGATATGTATCATTTTTATCTATACCTCTATGTTTATTTGTTTAGTATTTAATCTTTCATCATGAGTGTTCAAGGATTTGAGGATCTAATTAATGGTCCTTTAACCACTTTTGTTCAATTATCCAACCAAATTGGTGGTGATGTATCCACTCAGGCTGCACTTGTCTTAAGTGCTTTTCAGTGAGTTATATCAATATTTTAAAAAAAATACAGAGTCTTAATAATAGTATGCATTTAATTAGGGCTGAGTTTCAATTCATCAAATATGCCAGTGATCATAGTGCACCTAGTGACAGTGAAAAGCAAAAGCTATTACTTCCTACAAGTACTAAAATCCAAGAAATCCAAGCACTAAGAGAGAAAAATCGTGGGTCTCCGTTTTTCAATCATCTCAGTGCCATCAGTGAAAGTATACCTGCATTAGGTTGGGTTGCTGTGGTGAGTAATTCACTATGCATTCTGAAATATTTCATATGTTTTTAAAAAACCTATTTAAGTAGTTTCAAGTTTGGATAAGTTTCTAAAATAAGTCTTTACATTAAGTTGTTGTTACAATATTTATAATATTCAATATATTCCCATTATATTATATATTCCCTGGACTTTTCAGTCTGCAATTTTTTTTTTTTTTTTGGTTTTACATAAGAGATACTGTTTATATACATTTCACTCCCCTTCCTAGAGGTATTGAAAAGTTGCATTATAGAAGCAGATTAATTATAGTTCACATACTTCAATAGGTTTATGAGAGATTTGGCTATTGCTTTGATGCGCACAGTGTAAATAATGATGGCCACAAAAAAAAGATATTTAAACATTGTAACAAAAATTTAATGTAATTGCTAAACTTCAAAATTATTCTAAATTAATTATTSTCATTTTAAATTATTAATAGGTATAAATTCTAAACATTTTTGTTTTCATTTTTAGTCTCCTACTCCTGCTCCTTATGTTAAAGAAAGCAATGATACTGGTCAATTTTATACGAACCGTGTGCTTAAAGAATGGAAAGAAAAGTATTTACTTGATATTCAGTTAGTTATTATTATTTAATATTTAAAAATCCTAACTTAGGGACAAAACTCATGTCGAGTGGGCAAAAACTTGGGTTCAACTTTTAGTTGATCTTCAAGCATATGTCAAACAACACCATACAACWGGACTGGTTTGGGCCAAAGCTGGAACAAAACCATCTGGAGGTCCACCTCCCCCACCACCACCATGTGGATTGCCGCCAATGGATGATTTATGTTTAGCTCCTGCTGATCCAGATGCTACWAACCGTTCAGCCTTATTTGCAGAGATCAATCGCGGTGCTGATATCACTAAAAGTAAATATCAATGCTATTAAAGTTTATTTATTTACCAATAATAAATTTTTTTTAAGGCTTGAAAAAAGTATCTTCTGATATGCAAACCCACAAAAATCCCAGCATGAGAGCCAGCGGACCAGCCCCTGCTGTAATTAGCAAGTCATCCGGTGTATCAACTCCTAAACCAGCTGTAGAAAAACCTCCGGTGTTTGCTCGTGAYGGTAAAAAGTGGCTTATCGAAAACCAAAAGAACAATACTAATCTTGTGGTTGATGGTGCTGAAATGAATAATGTAGTGTATATATTTAAGTGTGTAAATTCAACAATCACAGTAAAAAACAAAATCAATTCAATCGTTATGGATTCTTGTAAAAAATCATCAGTGGTATTTGAATCATTAGTCTCGTCTGCTGAGTTTATTAATTGTCAGTCAGTTCAGATGCAAGTATTGGGTAAAGTCCCAACAATTACTATCGACAAAACAGATGGCTGCCAAATGTATTTAAGCAAGGATTCTTTGACTACTGAAATTGTCACATCCAAATCATCTGAACTGAACGTAATGGTTCCTAAAGCAGATGGAGATTATTCTGAATATCCAATACCCGAACAATTTAAGATTACAATTGGACCAAAAGGTCTTAATACTGTTGTTATTGAACCTTCTGGGTAAATTTTTAATATTTACTCACTTGTTCAATTCAGCTTAAAATCTCAAACTTATTCAGCATTTATTCATGTAGAATTAGGAGTGAAAAATATTATTATTTATTTTGATGTTAATATTCAAAATATAAAAACTAATTTCATCATTCAATGTATATACTTATACAAATGATTTGAGTTAATTAGAACTTTTTTATTACATACAGTTTTAAATCTAATGTAACACTAAGTGAGTAATAAATGTATTATATGATCTAAAATTGTAAAAGAAATATTTGATTCATATATTTTAAAGTTAAAA